TATTTTATTTTTTTTCTAATTAGATGTGTTGGGGTGACATTGGTTAGTATGACCCACCATCTATGTTCAGAGCCAGCCGTATAATATCTTATATCTTTTCATCTCTGTCTCTGGCTGTGACCTTCCTGCCTTGCCCTCCTGCAAAGACCTTTACGACTACTTTGGGCCCACCCAGAATATCCAGAATAATCTCATTATCTCAAAATTCTTAAATTAGTCACATCTGCAAAGCCTCTCTTTGCTTAGTAAGGTAACATATTCACAGACTTCCTGGATTAGGATTTGGAAATCCTAGGTGCGAGGCATTATTCTGACTACGGTAAATGACTTGGAAACTTGACAGAACATTAGATTACTTAGAAGCTGTGAAAAATTCTGATACCCCGTGTGTGCTCAAAAAACAATAATATCAGAATGTTAGTGAGTGTGACCCAGGTAGCACTATTTTTAAACCTCTCTGTATAATTCCAACGTGCATTAGTTTTTTGTTGCAGTCTCACACCCTTTACCCTACTCTAAGGTTGCTACATGTGTCTGCGTACATTGGGGACGTCCTGCCAACAGAGTGATTATAGTGCACTGACAGAACCTTTGGCCAATAGCAGAGGACTCCAGAAGTTTTAAAATTACTTGCGGATATGTACTAGAATAGCCTGATTGTGCACATTGCTACAGGACAAGTAAAGGAAAAGCGACTCCTTGTAAAAGCAAGTTGCTCCTTGCAAGGGAGGCTATTTCTTTTTCTTTTTTTAAAAATACGGTGTTATTGATTTCAGAGAGAGCAAGGGAAAGTGAGAGAGATAGAAACATCAATGATGAGAATCATTGGTTGGTTATCTCTTGCACGCCCCCTACTGGGGATAGAACCCAGGCATGTGCCCTGACCAGGAATGGAACCATGACCTGACTATTTCTTATCTATTCCATTCATGTAACGTGGTATTTGGTCCATATTCCTCCATCTGCTCTTTTATGAAAGTAAGACTGAAACTTACATTTATGTCGCGATTTCTAAAAGTATCTCTGCATCTTTGCTTTGATCATTACTTCCTACATGAAATTTCCTCTCCATTTATCTCAACCATTCCCTGAAGCATTCCAGGATCTCTCGTCCTCAGGAAGCCCTCAGGTGCTTGGCTATAATACCATTTTATCCTTAACTAGGACTGTCTTTCATTATTTTTCTCCCTTTATTTAAAATCTTCTCAACAAATTCATAAACTTTTTAAAGTAAAGAACCCGAATTACATGTTTTAATTCCTATTAGATATTTTGCACATAGGAAATGGTCAGTAAATTATTAATGATTTCCAACTCCCTTTAGTTCTGGAATTAAACATCAGTTCTTTCAAGAAGATTTTCTTGCCCGGCTGGCATGGCTCAGTGGTTGAACATGGACCTATGAGCCAGGAGGTCAATACCACGGTTCAATTCCCGGTCAGGGCATATGCCCAGATTGCAGGCTCAATTCCCAGTGTGGGGCATGCAGGAAGCAGCCAATCAATGATTCTCTCTTATCATTGATATTTCTCTCTCTCTCTCTCCCTCTCCCTTTCTCTCTGAAATAAATAAAAACATATACTTAAAAAAGATTTTCTTGTCCACACACAAAGCTGAGTGAAAGGTTATCATTATGTCATCATAGCTCCACCAGTTAGTTTCACACTGGATTATTATTATTATTTGTCTCATGTCATTTTCTTTGAAGTCTGAATTGTGTTCATTGGTAAGTCTAGCACCTAGGAATCGCAGACATCATCTCTGACTGGATATATATCAGAGCGTACCTCAATCTAGACCCTGAGATTGTTCCCACGTATCCTTCCCAAGTATCCTTTTAAGCTACAGCCATGTAGCTTAAGCTGCAGGATAGATAATAGATGGAATTTTCCGCTCCTTTCTTAAGGCTTTTAGAAATTAATGAGGCTTTTCTCTGTCCAAAATTAAAACACTTTATTAGATAACAAATTAGGAATCTAAAGTTATTGGGAATTTTATTATCAATATTTTTAAGAACTAATATAAGTCAGATTAAACATGAATAATGTGGCTGACAGATTGATATCTCTGTACATAATTTGTTATTTATTTTATTTTTCTGACTTAGTAGCCTATTAGTGAACTATAACTATAGTCATTTTATTGTATTGAAAAATCTTTAAGAATTCTTTTTACCTGAATTGTATAAAAATACTCTCAAGTCCAAAATATTATAAACATTCTATAAGTCTCTGAAAACGGAATTGAAATAAACATGAAATATGTTGTATTTCAGGATCAGTTGCCTTCTGCTACCATGACTCCTTCATGTTTATTGTTTTAGTCCTTCTAATTTTTGCTTCATAGGAATATCTATTTATATAGAATTTTTAAATATATTTGTATATATTTAAGTAGATATAAATATTTGTATATAATGATTATCCAGCTATACATAAAGATAAATTAGATACTGAAATGAATAAAAGTTTTGAGAAGAGTAGTGATAACTATCTGCCTAGTATCTACTTTTGGACTTTCACTTTTCATAATCACTGTTAATAATTATATTAAAGAATGACCTACCTTTTGGGTAATTCTTTCTGAAACTGATAGAGTTGTGTATTAACTTAGAAAAGGCCAGTTAATCCATCTTTCTGCTTTGATAACCTGGAGGCTGGCTCTTGCCAATAGTCTGGAGGTTTTACAGTAGGAGACTGGACCTAAGAGGGAGATAGACACCAGAAACCAACTTAGTAATCCCAGCAAGAATGATAATGCCCACACAAACCAAAAATACTATGGTTTGTACTAGTACAATAAATGCCTAATATCCTTGATGTCTAACTGCATGTGAAACCAATAAATAATTAAAAATTCCCTTATTGATTTATTCTGATAAATCACAAAGACCTTAAAATATTTTAAATCTGTTCTGTCAGCCCATTTTTAATATGGGAATCAGAATGTTGCTTGTAGAGAATGGAACCAGAACAGTGGAAGTTAAATATCCCTAATGTTTAGAGTTATTATGTGTAGTTTAATATACCAATTTGGCAATAGTTACAGTGTTGCCAATGAGACTAAGCCTATTCTAATTCTGTGAACTCTAGCCCCTTATTTCCTTTCTCCATACTTAGATTATCCAGTCTACTTGAAGTAAACCTTGGTAATGAGATGAGGAATAGTTCAAGATACCTGAAATGTCATGGCTCAGTCTACTTTAGACAGTGCTTACATGGTAGCCACCCACATTTCCTCAACTCTATTCTTCAGCAGATCAAGACCCCCAGCTATTCACATATCTTCTTTAATGCTTGCTAATGCAGTGTTATTGTCAAGGATAACTGGCCATGGACCATTTCTCTTTTAGGAGCCTTTGTATTTAATGTTGATTTTACAGTTTAACTCTTAGAAGGCAATCTGCTTTCCTCATTTGGGAGTTGTATGGTTTTGTTTTTGAGAAGGGTGTGGGTCATACTGTAGTTCTGAAGTTTTTAAAATAAACAACAGCTATTGTTTTTTGAGTGTCTGTGCTAAATGATCTACAAGTCATTTTTCGTCTGATACACAGTTCATTCTCAAAAAAGCATTACAACTTGATATTACATCTTACTTTAGAGATGAGCAAATTGAGGTGGCGTGATTAAAGTCTTACAGTTTGTAAATATTTGGAATCAGTTTTTTAATCAGTGTTTGTTTCCAAAGCCCTTATTTTTCTCTATGGTGCTATTATTTCTTAATAGAAGGTCTGCCGTACTCGAATACTTTTCTTTTGAAACTTTTAACACTAAGAAGAGTATTATTCAAGAAAGAATAGTGGCATCTCTTTTAGTATTATATTTTAAATTTAAAAACCAGTGATATATATGAAGGAAGTGGTGTTGCCAGTAGTTAATACCCTGCCTCCTATCCCACTAGTCTAGATAAGAATAGATGTTTCTGTAAACACTCCTTGTTGAACAAAACACACAGTTTTTCAAGGTCATATCAAGTGATAAATAGAGTTTATTTTTTATTAAAATTTTTAACTATATATATGTCAGTGCATGAAAACTTTTAATGAGAGAAAAGAGAACTCTATTTAACTAAAAATATCTGCACATATTTTTAACCTCGGATTATGTTACCCATCAGATGTACGTACAAAACATGTTTAATTTATCTAAGTGCATTGTCAAATAGACATCAGCTTTGTCAAACAAAACATCCATATTTGATTTGTTTTCCTTTTACTTAGGTATCTAAGGAGTTAATTATTCTGATAAACCATATCTAAATCTTACATAAAATTTTGGAAATAAATTGAAATATTTTTATATCCTCATCTCTTTTACTATTTTGCAAATTGGATATTTGAAATAAATGCCTACATTGGGTGATTTAGCAGCTGAGGAAAGGTAAATTCTCAATTGTTTCAAGATTAATAGTGATTTTAAAATTTATTCAATTCTTAAGCTTTAAACAAATGTCAAACTTTTTGTCATGTGTTCTGAGGTTTACATATAACCACTATCTCTATATTTCACAATGATCTTTTAATAAAATGCACATTTTATAATGGCAATCATTTATTTATTTTGTTTATTTTTATGAACTAAATTTTAGCTCTTTCTCTTCTTTTAACTCCCAACCATATTTGCTATTTTGCTATTCATAAACATAGACGTTCTGTTTTCAATAAGGTCTATCAGAGTGTAAAACTAGATGGGTATTTTTCTTTAAAATGGAATGGTCTTTCATTATGCAGTATTCTTAGGTGAATTCTCTTGTTTAAGAAGCCAGAATACAAGGGAGTGCTATATTAGTGTATTCTTCTCACAACAAACAAGCACTGTTCTGTTGCTACCTGCTTGGCCATTGTTTCTGACTGTGTGTGCTTTGCAGTGGTATTTGGATGGTTTCCTGCTCTCTGCCAGCACAAAAAGGCATTTCTGTTACAATGGCCCCTAACCACACAATGGCAGCATTAAGGATTTATGTGGAGGTTTCATTATTTTCTCCTCTTTTGTTCCTTCCAGGATGTCTTCCAAGCGACCAGCCTCTCCGTATGGGGAAGCAGATGGAGAGGTAGCCATGGTGACAAGCAGACAGAAAGTGGAAGAAGAGGAGAGTGGCGGGCTCCCAGCCTTTCACCTTCCCTTGCATGTGAGTTTTCCCAACAAGCCTCACTCTGAGGAATTTCAGCCAGTTTCTCTGCTGACGCCAGAGACTTGTGGCCATAGGACTCCCACTTCCCAGCACAATACAATGGTAGGTTTCTCAAGGTCTGTTGTGCCTACACTCACTTTTTGACCAGTTCAGTCTTCTAATAGTTTGGCTTCAGTCCTTTGCTTTATAATTGTCATCTACTTAATAGCCATACACAAGATTCACTCCCAACATCTTTGAATTCTAAGTAACTGGATTTCAGTAGGGAGAAAAAGATATGGTATTTTTTTGTTTTTTCCAGAACTCGGATTTTGAGATACTTACAATTTAATTTGAGGGGGAAAAACATGTAAATATAAGAATGATTTTAAAGTAACATTTACAATTAACAGGAAAGTTAGATGTTATTCTATTTCTAATAAAAGTTTTTTTCCAGTTACAACATAGTTTGAAGACTTCCATCATAATAAATCATTGTGGGTGTTTTTTTTTTCTTTCCATTTTTTGCTTTTCTTGGATTGGATTTCAGTATTCCTTAAAGTACTGGAAATATTATAGAAGAATATATTTCATAGAGACTATAGTTTTCTAATGGGACCACACCAATTTCTAATTCAGTCCCATTCATGTTGTTGTTTTGATAATTCAGTAGTTCCCTGCTGCATCCTGTTCCAGAATTTGAAACTCAGGATAATTTATCTGGCCTCTCAGCCTGAGGTCTGGATCACTGGGAATCCGTGGTTTCACGGATGAGAAGCAAGAAGGCAGCATAGCATCTTTGGCTGAAGCTTAAGCAGCAGACACACACAAATAAGGCTTTTAGGAACTTCAATATGGAGAATCAGCTAGCTGGCAGGGCAACAGGGCGCTTAGCGGCCAGTAAAGTCACCCTCACCTTTACAACATGGCTGCTGGGGTGGATGCCACGTTTCTGTGCCCTCTCTCCTCTTCACCTTCAAGAATGATAGTGCCATTCACTTTAGCCAGGTTCCACCACAAAAATGTGTCATCACACATTCTCTTATCTTTAAAGACAGCTCTGATCCTGTTTAAGTACTTTTCTTTCTCTAGGAAGTTATTGTACATCATAAAAGTTCATGGTACTGAAATATGTCCACTGGTTTACGTGATTGTGTTACTTTATGGGGAGTTAAATCAGCAAGAATCAGGGGTCTTCTAATAGCTGTGAAATAAACACCAATCTTTGGTAGTCACATTAGGTTTAAATACTCTCATTCAGCATTTTGAAAGCCTTACTGGTAAAAATTTCTCTGGCTATTTAACTATTTGCAATATAGTGTTGTGTCTTTTTTGTGTGTGTATGTGTGTTGTTTTTTGTTTTTGGTTTGTTTGTTTGTTTGTTTTTTAACCAAGAATAATGTTTTAGCTAACACTTAGCACTTTATAGATTTTAAGCATGTTACATACGTTAACTCGTTTAATTGTCACAGTGTCCCAATGAGGTGTTATTAATCATCCCATCTTACAGGTGAGGGAACTGGGCTCAGAGAGGTTAAATAAACAGCTACTACGTGGGACAGCTACTGCCAGGCTTACCCAGGCTGTCTAGCTTTGGAGTCCATGCTTACACACATTAAAAGCTTTTCCCAAGAGCACAGGCATATTTTATTTTCTGACTATTTTTTTTTTATTTGGCAAGTTAAACCATGCTATCTATAATTTCCCCTTTCTCCCTCAACTATGAGTTTATGTTACTTATGTACAATGAATACAACCTTTTGGCTTCCCCTCAAAAAGGTAAACCTGCCAAAACCAGTTTGGCTCAGTGGATAGAGCGTCGGCTTGCGGACTGAAGGGTCCCAGGTTCGATTCTGGTCAAGGGCATGTACCTGGGTTGCGGGCACATCCCCAGTGGGAGATGTGCAGGAGGCAGCAGATCGATGTTTCTCTCTAATCGATGTTTCTAACTCTCTATCTCTCTCCCTTCCTCTCTGTAAAAAAATCAATAAAATATATATAAAAAAAGGTAAAACTAGGAAAAGAAAGGGGGAAAATAGCACAGTGCAGTTCAAGGTAAAGATGTTGGACTCTTCACTTGACCTTGCATCACTGCTAAAGGCATGTTCCTCTCAATATTGTGACCATTGCTCTCTCTTAGGAAATACCTTGTTGAGAGTGCTTCTTGGTTTGGTTCTCTTGTGATACTACCATAAACATAACCACAGATTTGAAGGAGTGGATATAAATAGTGATGACTGGAAGAAAACCACAAAGATAAAGGGCAGATTATTTTAAGTATACTCAAGGGTGGATATAAGAAAGTATATTAAATTGCATACTGTAGTTGGGGGAGTGGATTCTGTGATGCAGGATATATAGGAAAATGAAACCATTCAGTGTGTAATGGAAGTATTCAGTTCCACCAAATAAAAAGTATGAACTGCCTACTTTATATCAAATTGTTTGTTGAATATTATGCAAATAGATTTCAATTGGATACAACCCTCTCCTTAAACAACTTCCTCTAGAGGAAAAGTTCTTTAAAAAATTTATATATATATATATATATATATATATATATATATATATATATATAAATTTCTCTATTTCAAAGAGAAAGGGAAAGTGAAATATAGAAACATCAATGATCAGAATCATTGATCAGCTGCCTTCTACACACCCCCTACTGGGGACTGAGCTTGCAACCTGGGTATGTGCCCTGACCTGGAATTGAACCATGGCTTGCTGGTTCATAGGTCAATGCTCAAACACTGAACCACACCAGCTGGGCTTGAGCAGACGTTCTTAACTAAGGTATATGGATCTCCTGAAAATGAATGGAGAATTCTGAGTATGAACACATGTGAGTAGGAATATGGTTTTCATCAGATTTTCAAGTAGATCTGTAACCCAAATAGGTTAAGGCCTGCTGTTCTAGAAGTTAAAACAAATGACTTTAGTTTTACTGACATCAACACTCGTAGTTTTCTCTTAATATATGTCCAATTGGTTTCAAAATTTGTTTCTGTCTCAAACATTTCTTGATTCCACCACCTTTTCATCTCTTGAGTAATCAGTTGGAGGAGTCCCCTATGTGATCTCAAATGTTCAGCCTCTTTCCTTTCCTGTCTTTCTTTCAATTTCCACCAGACTAGTTCCCCTGAGAAAAGAGTTGGATTTTTTACCCGACTTTGGAATCCAGTGTATGTTCTTGTTGCTTACAGTATTTAGTCTAAAAATCTTTCTCTCAGTATAAAATTCTATATAGACTAGTAATGAACTATGGCTTAAGTCTCCTCTCCTGCCACATCCTGCAATGATATCAATGCTCCAGCCATCCAAGCATTTGATTCATCTTCATAAACATATCGCTTTATTTATAAACATGATACAGCTTTATTCTTTCCAACTGTAAAACCTCTCCTTTTTTATATTTTACCTTCCCAGTGAATTGTGCATCTCCCACAAGACTGGGGTCAGAAAATGCTTCTTTTCAGAGACTTTCATTGATCTCCCAAAGCAGAACAGTTGCTGCTTTGTTCTTTTATCTATGACACTTGTTTATATCTTTTTTATGGCCTATATTATAATGTATGTGTTTATGTGTCTGCTTTTCTATGTATTCCTTGAAGGCATAGTCATATATATTTATATTTATGATATCCAGCATATAATAGATAGCTAATTTATTATTACTGATTAAAGGGCAGTGCTTATATGGGAGATTAAATATATATTTGGGGGCAAAGTTGTTAAGACACTTTTCATGGCAAATATGCTGAATTTCTAGAAATTTTAGCACTAAAAAAGAATCTACTAATGCAGTATATTCTGAAAACAGGAAGTATGTCATAATAGCTCTGATATATTCAACTATTAAGCTCATTAAGTAATATTTTACCCATTTATCTAAATTATTTAATATATTTATAGAATTGTTATTCAACACAAATACTTTATATTTTTGTCTGAATACTAGGTCTTTGTCATGTTCACATAACAGGTCATTTTATTTAAGTAGAACTATACATTTTCTATTTTTTTCCTATTCAATATCTTTGAGAACAGAGAGACTGTCTCATGGTCTTTATATCATATAATTCAATTGGAAGGGGAAAAAGCTTTGCCGACTTCATTGCCGATTTATGTGTGACATTCGTGCTACATTCTTAAATAAAAAAGAAAGCTATTAAGAGGTCTACATTTTTGTATTGCCTACATAGTTTAGAGACAAAGTAAAACCAATGAGTAATCTTTGGAATGATAACTCAAAGTTAGAGAGAGATGCTTTCAGTATAAAATTCAAGTTGGAAAATATTTCCTGAGGTCAAAGTTCTGTATAGTTAATAATTGCTGCCATATAAAAATATTGAGTAATTAATTAGGATCCTTTGTATGCAAGTGCTAATGTTTTGAATTGGGTCAGGTAAAGACATAATTTTTCCTTTCTGGAGTTGTGTTTGTTTCTTTAATACTTTTGAGAAATAAACTAAGTTCCTAACTAAGAGCCACTCCCACAGGTGGAACTGATATGAGTACTCTGTGTCCTTCTCCTCTTAGAAGGTTTCACTACTATGCTGAGTACACTATAGATGAACTGTATTAAGCATATCATATACATATATTTATAAAGAACTGTCTGATTTCTAATCAATATAAGATGAGACACAGATAGTTGTAAGTCTGAACAGACTGTTGGTTCCTTCTCTGAAGCACTCTTGAGCTTGCAAAGCAATTAATCACAAAATTTGATTCTCATATAATCTTCAAAAAGGTAAAAAGGCAAGTATGATTCTGACATGAATGGAAAGGCAGTCCTCAGCTTTGTTTTTATGGAAGGTCTGATTTACTCTTCTGGCTCTGCTCCTTTTATTCAATTTTTAAAAATAATTTTGTAACATGGGTTTGCTGAGGCTCTCACTTCAGAGTTCCAGAGATAAGCAAGAATCACTAATTTCTGGCTCATTTCTAACAATAGTTATGATATAGATGGATTTATTTCATGATGTGAAGAACTGTTCAGAACATGTATTCATGTCAATCAACACGATTATCTATGAGCACCAGAGGGAATCAATGAAGGGAAGTCAAGGAGAGCATTAGAGGCACCCGGGGGACTCTATGGTGGCCGTTGTGGGGCT